AATCAGCCACCTCAAATTAATTTTTTTGGTTGGATCCGAGCAAAAATCTGTTTCATATCCATGCAATATCCTTTTCAGTCTGTTCATGAACAATAGCCTTTATATTTTTGGAATTTCCCTTGCTGCGATCAACATACAAAATCTGTATCAAAACATTACAGCCAATTATATTTGTCTCCTCTGAAATTGTGTTCAATCTGTCATGCATGCGTTCTGTTTGATTTTCTGTATGTTAAGTTGCATTTGTTTGCTAAGTTTTAATTACTTGTCCATAGGAACATAGAAAACATAAAATAAATATTCAATAATTAACATTCATTACCATTTATTTTACTGAAAAATGATTACATGCACTGTGCATTTACATTCAGAACATGAATGTGCATTTGACACTGTTTTGGGAAAACAATACAATCCATTGCATATATGTGTAGTTATCACTATCATTGAAAATGCTGGTATTTTAATTTCAATTTTAGGATTTAATGTTGTCCAACACAGCATATCACTGGAAAAACTGTTCACTTTTGATTTGATAAATGGACAGGGAATGAATGAAAACTGTCCACTAAAACCCTAAAAGGGTAAGAATACAGATGAACATCCTGAATTAATTGCTGGTGTCAAAATTTATTGAAATTGACAACCTATGAACATTTGCTTTGTATGTGCATCAGTCTCTTTGCCTTACATAAAAATGTGCAAGTGGGGCCCTTGCTGACATGTCATTTTTCTCGTTTTTTGGTGGAATTTTCATTTTCATCTGATGCTTTAAGATCAACATTGTTTCGAAAATTTATTTTCACTTTTGTACACATTTATTTCGTGAATTTTGTGGGGCAAAATTTTAATTTTTATCCTTGTCTTGGGCAATTTTAATTTTAAATTCTTACCAGGCCTGTTTATTCATTTCTAAAATCCTCCTGCCCACCACCTCAAAAAATCGGTTAACCCCTAACGGTTTGATGTTTAATTCAGCAGTGGTCCAACCATGCCCCAAATATTGAAGATTTGTAACTTGACTGTTATGAATCACAGTTAAGGCTACACTTCATAAAGACATAAAGACACATCTATTGATGTCAAATGTTATATTGTTTAAATTTATTTGCATCTGTTTTAGACTAAAGTTGATTAAGAGTTTGACATATTGTGTACATGTTCCAGACCATATGAGTAGTTGGACAATATAATAGAAAAACAAAGAAAAAGGGGTCTCCATCCATGACACAAAATCATTACATGCCTATATACTCATGTGGTCCGACCATACGGTTATAGTCCGGGTAAATTATACGATGAATAGTGATAAGGTACCCTTCAAGGTGTCGTTAATCAAGAGTTTCTAAAAATGAAATTTTGCTTGGCTTATTTTTATCATATGGTAATCATTGTAACATGATTTATGATATAAAGTAAATCTTATTCACTAGTTAAAATTACAGTAAAAGCATTTTCACGTGTAGATCATTATCTATTTTTCCATACAAAATGAAATATATCGAGTTTGGAAAATAACATCAAGAAATATCTTAATGAACCATTTAAAAATAGGTACTTGGGGCATTGTTTATAGTTTGTTTTTAGTAAAATAGATTCTTAAATATTTTAAATTATTTTTAGTTATTTTTAAAATGTGTTCTTTGCTCCTATTCGTATGATCTTACAATAACTGAAGTTTATCACAGCTATCCGTCAATTCTTATGTGGAAAATTGGAATAAAGGGCAGAATGTATAAACTAGGTATTGTTATTCTAAGGTCGTATGAATTAAGAGCAAGAACACATTACTTAAGTGAAAATAAGTAGAAATTAAAAAATAAATCTTTAAAAAAAACTTATCTAAACACTGGGTCAAAAAGGAAAAAAATTCTGGCCCCAAACTCTCGTGATAAACTGGGCTTTAAACATTGACACTAGTGAAATAACAGATATTCCAAGATGTTGACAATATATCAACAAGAGGCTGTCAGAGCGACAGCAAACCGGATTTTTTAACATTTATTTGTGTCCTGGCATTTTTCAATATCACAAGGACCATAACTCCTGACCTCAATATTGTCATCAGTAACAACATATTAAAATTTATAACTTTTGGTTGAATGGTTCATGACTTAAAGCATGGACACCACTGGAAACACCATTTTTCAATCTTTCAAGAACCATTACTCCTGAACGATGAAAATGAAAATCGTCAATATTGAACTTGACCTCCATTTTGTCATCAGTAACAACATATTAAAATTTGAAAAGCTTTGGTTGAACGGTTCATCAGTAAATGCACGGACACTGTTCAGCAGCCCCCCGCCCTGATGCCCACCCGCTGTACATCCCCAAATCAATAACCAATTTTCCTTCGGAAATCCGTTTAAAAATTAAGGTTTTAGTTATTAACTTGTGTCAATTTTGGTTCTGGAAAGGAACGAAGTAAGAATTTATATTAGAAATACCTATATGGTCTAAATGCTCATATGGTCTGGCTCGTTAATAAGAACACATGTATATACCCATATGGTTATGACCATATGTGTTGGTCCAAATACTCATATGGTCCAAACATAAACACCTATCAGTTTTGGAATACTGTATGTTAATATCTAGATCTCTTGGGTTTTTATGTCTTTGTGTTGTTATATGTGTTTTATTGCAATTGTGAAAGAATATAGGTAATGACGAAGTAAATTTTGTGTGCCAAAATATTTGCTTTTCTATACAATTAAATTTCATCTATTTTGTATACTGTAAACCAACATAATTTTTACTAATACTGTTTTCGTGTTTCGTGTTTCGTGTTAAGGCATTCTAGTTGATTTAAAGCAATAAGTTTTTCTGGATTTTCTTGAATTTTTTTAGAAGATCCAAGTGTTTGTAATGGCAACGATTCATTTTCTGGTAATTATTGATACTGTGTGAGCCATGCTGGATCTATGTATTCACTCCAGATTTTAAGATGGTGCAGAATTCTGAGTTGAAGAATAATCATGAATCTAATTATGTGTTTTATGACTTGCAGAAAGTGTATACACCATTTTAATCATCTACTGCCAAATAACATATTATTATACGACCGCAAAAATTAAAAGTTGTCTTCGTCGTCCAAAGACATTTGGTTTTCACACTATAACTTTAGTATAAGTACATAGAAATCTATGAAATTTAAACACAAGGTTTATGACCACAAAAGGAAGGTTGGGATTGATTTTGGGAGTTTTGGTCCCAACAGTTTAGGAATTAGGGGCCAAAAAGGGCCCAAATAAGCATTTTTCTTGGTTTTCGCACAATTACTTTAGTATAAGTAAATAGAAATCTATGAAATTTTAACACAAGGTTTATGACTACAAAAGGAAGGTTGGGATTGATTTTGGGAGTTTTGGTCCCAACAGTTTAGGAATTAGGGGCAAAAAAAGGACCCAAATAAGCATTTTTATTTTGTTTTTGCACAATAACTTTAGTATGAGTAAATAGAAATCTATGAAATTTTAACACAAGGTTTATGACCACAAAAGGAAGGTTGGGATTGATTTTGGGAGTTTTGGTCCCAATAGTTTAGGAATTAGGGGCCAAAAAAAGGGCCCAAATAAACATTTTTCTTGGTTTTTGCACAATAACTTTAGTATAAGTAAATAGAAATCTAAGAAATTTAAACACAAGGTTTATGACCACAAAAGGAAGGTTGGGATTGATTTTGGGAGTTTTGATCCCAACAGTTTAGGAATTAGGGGCCAAAAGGGTCCAAAATTAAACTTTGTTTGATTTCATCAAAAATTGAATTATTGGGGTTCTTTGATATGCCAAATCTAACCATGTATTTAGATTCTTAATTTTTGGTCCCGTTTTCAAATTGATCTACATTAAGGTCCAAAGGGTCCAAAATTAAACTTAGTTTGATTTTAACAAAAATTTAATTCTTGGGGTTCTTTGATATGCTGAATCTAAACATGTACTTAGATTTTTGATTATGGGCCCAGTTTTCAAGTTGGTCCAAATCGTGGTCCAAAATTAAACTTTGTTTGATTTCAACAAAAATTGAATATATGGGGTTCTTCTATATGCTGAATCTAACCATGTATTTAGATTTTTAATATTTGGGCCCGGTTATCAAATTGGTCCACATTGAGGTCTAAAGGGTCCAAAATTGAACATTATTTGATTTCATCAAAAATTGAATTCTTTGGGTTCTTTGATATGCTGAATCTAACCATGTATTTAGATTTTGGATATTGGACCATAATAGGTAAATGTCCAATTTAAAATTTTTAAGTTTTTAAGTTTAAGTTCTTAGACCACATTCATTCTGTGTCAGAAACCTATGTTGTGTCAACTATTTAATCACAATCCAAATTCAGAGCTGTATCAAGCTTGAATGTTGTGTCCATACTTGCCCCAACTGTTCAGGGTTCAACCTCTGCGGTCGTATAAAGCTGCGCCCTGCGGAGCATCTGGTTTGCCTTTAAATTTAGAAAATAGAGGGTGAACAGCTACTTAATTTTAGATATACACTTGCATATAGTTCAATTGTAAATCAATATGTATTGATATATTACTATTTATGAATTAAAAAAAAAAACGGTAGTACTGGTACATTTGTTTATCAAATTTAAGTAGTTTATCAGTATCTTATGCTAGTGAAAGCAATATAATAAATAATGAGGTCGACTCCAATCTTAATTGACTAGGATTGTCAGTTTTCTACCTAAGGTAGGTGGTTCTCTCCGTGCACTCCGGCTCCACCAATGAAAACTGACTGCCACAAAATAGCACAATAGTGCTGAAAGTGGCATTAACACCAACCAATCAATCAATCAACCATTCAATCTGGTACATCTCATTTCCATGGAGATTATATGGCACTGCCCCACTGTCATGGTCTATTGACTTTGAAACTTTTGCTTAGTTTACATGTATTAGTTTGTGATTAGGTTAGTTTAAAGGTTACTATAACCACTAGTGGTAGTCAATGACATTGTTTATGAAATTAAAAGTTCAATAATATTTTTCAGGCTAAAGGAAGAATTATAGTGATGCCAGGTATGGATTTTAAACTTAGAAATTATCTAAAAATTGTTTACATTCCTTAAGATGATGATGGTAATTTAAGCTCATTAGATTGGAACAAGATGTTATTATATAATCAACTTATAAGGAACTTTATTTAAAAATAAGGAGACTTTTATTTGATATGATTGCCAATGAGACAACTATCCACCAAAAATCAAATGAAGTGGATGTAAGCAATTATAGGCAACTGTATGTCCTTCAACAATTAATGTGAAAAAACTAACAGCCTAATTTATAACAAAACAATTTACGGAAAACAAATGTGACAGACATGAACCTTTTTTGACAACCACTGAGCTTCTGGTTCCTAACTTGAGACCTAATAAAGAATGTGATGGGGGTTAAACATATTTGTGAGTGCTCAACCCCCTTTCCTATCTCCTAACCTGGGACAGTGGTGTTACAGCACAGAATAAGAACAAACTATAAAAATCAGTTGCAATTTTTGGTTTAACTCAAAAGAATTGTACAAAATGCACAAAAACAACTCAGATATAAACAATAGACACAAAGCACCAAAATAAGAGTACTCACAGTTACTGAAAGCTAGTGCAAAGCCAATTACAAGTACCCGGTAATGAAAAAATCATGTTCTCCTAGACTAAAGTATCAATCTTCACACATCCAACAGATTTAGTGTAAAGTGGCCATAAACAGTTTGAGGAGAAAACACATGACATTGTGCAATGCCAAAATATATGTAAACAGTATCAACAGGATGTAGGATCATGAGTTACCGGTATAATAACTGTCGATATAAAGCAATATATATTTAGTTTTTTATTTTCATTATTCAAAAACAAAATCAATGCTAATACCAATAATAACAATATTTAAAGATATTACTACTGTGATTAAATGATGACCTTTAAGAATTAGTTTATTCAAAGGATCATGGATTGAATCTAAATTTCCGTGCTTTATAAACAACATTGCAGTGATAATTAGGATGTGATATCCTGTTTTTTGTTGAGCCTGCGACTTTTGTCGCAAAAAGCTCGACATAGGGATAGTGATCTGGCGGCGGCAGTGGCGACTACAACAAGCGGCGTTAGCTAACTTCTTAAAAGCTTAATATTTTCCAAGATGGAAGACCTGGATGCTTCATACTTTGTATATAGATGCTATATGTTATGAAGTTTCCGTCTGTCATATGTCCATTATCCTTGACCTCATTTTCATGGTTCAGTGACTACTGGAAAAAAAAGTTCAGATTTTTTGTAATATTAATTTCTCTCTTATTGTGAGTAATGGGATAACTATATTTAATATATGCGTACCTTGCAAGGTCCTCATGCCCCTCAGACTGTTTCATCTGACCTCAACCTCATTTCATGGATCAGTGAACAAGGTTAAGTTTTTGTGGTCAAGTCCATATATCAGATACTATAAGCAATAGGTCTTCTATATTTGGTGTATGGAATGATTGTAAGGTGTACATCTCCAACTGGCAGGTGTCATCTGTCCTTGACCTCATTTTCATGGTTCAGTGGTTAAAGTTAAGTTTTTGTGTTTTGGTCTTTTTTTCTAATACTATATACAATAGGTCACCTATATTTGGTGTATGGAAATATTTTACAATGTACATGTCAGTCTGGCAGGTTTTATTTGACCTCAATGTTAAGTTTTCATGGTTAAGTTTGTTTCTTAGATACTATAAGCAATAGGTCCACCATATTTAATGCATAGAGACTAAGATTGATTGTAAGGTGTACATGTCTGTCTGGCATGGTTCATCTGACCTTGACCTTATTTTATTGGTTCAATGACTTAATTTAATATTGCTTAAATGACTTACTTTCAAATATTATAAGCAGTAGATCAACTATACTTCTCGTATGGAATAATTGTAAAATGTCTTTCAACATCAATTATATGGTCAATAAAACAGGTGAGACATTTCAGCATGTGCACTCTTGTTTAATACACCAATAACGTTGTCAAACCTTTATTGGATTTTTATGAAAAATTTGGACAGAAGCTTTCATTATGACCAAAAGATAGAATCCAGAGCAAAATTTAGAAATAATTTTTTTCTTTTTTTTTCGTATTTTTCTGATAAATGGCTTTTTTTAAAGTTAACATTTAGATGCAGTCTAAGGTTAAAATTGAGGTTCTATTTTCAGTTAACATTTAGATTGAGTCTAAGGTTAAAATTGAGTTTTTTTTTTATAGTTAACATTTAGATACAGTCTAAGGTTAAAAATTTTCAGTCATCAACAACTTTGTCTTAGGGTCCACTTACATGGCAGAACGACCAAAGCTATTTGGAATTAATGCTATTTTTGTTTACCAATTTTCTGAATTTTGCTTAATATCCCCAAAACTATAGTAGATAGGTACACTCTATGAATAGCAAAATTGATCAGCAATACAAGATTTATTTTTAACATTCAGTCTTTGATGAGCCTTCTGTTTTGAATATATTTATTAAGTCATTTAAGCAATGTTAGATTAAGTCATTTTAAGCAATATCAAAAGGCAATCCCTATATTTATAAGCATGTAATAGTTGTAAAATACCAATTTGTATGGCAAGCCGTTCTCATCAAACCATGTTCAAACCATTTTTTCGAAAAAATTACACACTGCGAATTAAGAACCTAAAATGACACACTGAGAAATCGAAATTACACACTGAGATTTAAAAAAATGAAAAACACACACTGAGATTTTAAAAAAACACACTGAGATGAAATAAATTGAAAAACACACACTGAGAATTGTTAATTACACAATGAGATTTCCAAAATACACACTGAAATTAATATGCAAATTACTAATGAATATTCATGTGATGAATAATTCAACAGATTAATATCTTGGTCTCCCGAACTCTTGTCATTATAATGAAATGCGGTTCCTACAACCAACATTCGTAATAAATTTCAAGACTTAACAACTTTTTTTGCGAACTCATATTCATAAGTTTGTTGCCTATAATTCAGAATATTATTAATTCGTATATTTTAACTAATTTGATTCGTTCAGGGATAGTCACATGTTAAACTATATTTTCGAAGGTAGAGAGAAAACGGCGGATAGCAAAAAGCATATTGCACGGTTATTTTTAGAATATCTAAATACCGATATACTTTGTGACGTCATGTAATGAATTTCATGATATTGTTAAAAGTTTTATAAAAAAATATCTATGATCGATTATTTGAAGAAAAAAAATCTTCAAATACATAACATGTAAAAAAAAACATCAAAAAAGTAAATGAAATAACAACTAATCTGTTTTTATTGTCTAGGAGACAATATCATATCTATAAAATTACAACAAAATCAAATGACGATTTTGATACAAATATGGTCGAAAATTAATAATATAGCAATTATAGCCTATTTATGAGGTCAATACAGGATATATCGACCCAAAGAAGTATATCGACCTCGGACTTCGTCCTCAGTCAATATACTTCATTCAGGTCAATATATCCTTGTATCGACCTCCTACAAAGGCTATAATTGTATATTATTACTAACAGTATATCGGGATTTTTTGCTTAAAAGTGTTTAAGCATGGTACCTTTTCAAAGGTCTCTCAACTGTTACTCAATTCGCAAGGTAATCTTTTATATTTTTGTTACGTATATATACTATAATAGGCACTTGGGAAAAAAATTCCCTGCATTGTTTGTAAATTTTGCAGATTGTTCCAATGTTTTCTTATAATTTTGATAAAGTTTTTCGCCAATTGGTTATATTTTGTGATGAGAGTAAGTGGGTATTTTTTTGTTCTATTGGTCTTTAATAACGTAGTTTTTCTATACGTTGTATTTTTAATGTTTTTTATAAAAATGTTAGCGCCAAATTGAAGGACTAACGAGTTCTGTCCCCTAGTTGTTTCAAGCTTGTAATAGATTCAGATTAAGTATGCCAATTAGATATGTGCGCATAAAAAGGTTTTTTAATTCTCAGTGTGTAAATTTTCGAAAAATGGTTTAAACATAGTTTTGACGAGAACGGCTTGCCATAAATTATAAAATATAAAATACCTACAGGTGAAATGTTTATAAAAATCAATCTCTGTGTCTAAACCAAGTTCATATTTAGACCAATTTAAATTGTTAAACATCCTTGTGAAAGTGTTTTTTTTTCTAATTTCTCTATTGTTGAAGATTACATTTTATATTAATAACTTTTTAAGGTGGAGGTATAAATGAGATCAATATTTCAAGAATTCTACAACAGTCCAAAGCCAGGGAATTTCACTGTTCAGCTAGAACATCAAGACCGTCTTTGATGCAATTCCAAAAAGCAGGCATACCAATGGGCGCTGCATTATTTCCACCAGAATATAGCACAAAAGTAACAGAAGTGGCAAAAGTTGAACATTTTATTAGTTTGTCAGATAATTGTTTTATGGATATGGAATAATCATGTTCTCTACCCTGTCCTATTTGCCATATGAGCTGTTGTCATCATTTTGCGTCTGTTTTTGTGATCTACATCTTCTATGAAACTGCTAGAGTAATTTCAACAACACTTGGAATGAATGATCATAAGGATATCTAGTTTACAGTTAGTGATTTATTGTTCTTGCCAATGAACCAACATTACTGACATTGCTAATAAAAAAAACCAGAAGGGTCAAATGCCAACAAAATGTCAAATATCGTGCAAAAGAAATTGTGACAGGAGCCAAGTACTTTTTAAATATTAAACAAAATTATCAGACAACTCAGGTATAATTGTAATAAAATGTTGTTTTTTTTCAATTTGTGTTCTGCTTATTATTCATCAGAGAACGTTAAAACAGCAAAATAGATAAGCATCACAAGATCATCAAAAAGAGCCAATAAAACTGAACCCCTCCATTAATTGATTTGTAGGAATAGTTGCCTTTACATGACTATTATTGCGAACCAAATGATACTTTTCCACAGATTCACTTGAAAGTTACCTGTCGATTTAAACTTTTGTAAGTTCTTTTGTCCCATCTAATAAATACAATAGCTATTGTTCTCTGTGTAGTTTATTCAATGGGACCTTTAAATTTCTTCCAAGAGAAATCTATCACTCACTGATTAATTCACCTGAACAAAAGATTTAACTTTCAATGATAAAAATACATGTACCAATACTAAATAATTTAGGACTCGCAAAACTGCATGTGGTGTTGTATTTATTCAATATCAATAAAACATTTTCAATTTGTTCAATATAAACACTGATTCAAAAATTAAAAGTTGATTTCTGATCAAATTTTCAATATTTTACCTATTAAAATTTGCTTTTTTTTGTGTGTTTGACAAATAAAATCTTGAAAATGATGATGTTTAAATTAAGGCCTTCATAAATGTATTTTATAAGTGAACAAGCACAAAAAAAATGCAAATTCCTTGGAACAGTACTAAAAATTTTGTCATAAATAAACCTTTTTATAATTAAATCAGCGTTTGTATTGAACAGATTGACAATATATTATTGATATTGAATAAATACAACATCACATGCAGTTTTGTGAGTTTATACATGTATTTCAATCAACAAAGAAGATCATTTTTTGATCAGGTAAATTAATCAATGAGTGATAGATTTCTCCTTGAAGATATTTAAAGGTCCCAGTGAATAAACTACACAGAGAACAATAGCTATTGTATTTATTCAATGGGACAATAGAACAGACAAAAGTTTAAATACCTTTGACCAAGAGAAGATGACTCTGTGGAAATATTTCATTTGGTCGGCAATAATGGCCAATTTTATAACTTTTACCTAGCTGATACTTTGAAAATTATTATAGAAAGAAAGTAAATGTAAGCAACAAAAATGAACAGTAATTTTTACAAGATCACTAGAAAAATGCTAATATGAGCAAAACCATCAGACCATTTCTTCTAGGACTTATTGTCCCTTGAAAACTATAATATATGAACAAGAAGTGTAAACAGCAAAAGACATCAGCAAAACGAAATCTAAAGAAATACCTGTATGACTTAATCCATCAATTGACTCCTTATATGAGTTATTTTCCTGAAATGATGAATTTTGACAAAATTCAGCTCTTTTATTGCGAACCCAATGAAAGTTTTCCACAGTGCCATCTCTATCTTGACCAGGTATTTAAACTTTTGCAAGTTCACCTGTCCTATTGAATAGATACAATAGCTATTGTTCTCTGTGTAGTTTATTCTCTGGGACCTTTAAATTTCTTCTAAGAGAAATCTATCATTCATTGATTAAATTACCTGAGTAAAAAAAAAATCTTATATATAGACAAAAATACTTTTTTTATACTCATTAATTGTGTGTGCTGATGTATTTATTCAATATTAATAATATATTTTCATTCAGTTTAATATAAACATTGATTCAATCATAAAAATTTGATTTCTGACAAAACTTTCAACATTGTTCCTTTTAAAAAAAAATTTGTTTGACATGAATAAGAACTTGAAAATAATGATGTTTCAAATTAAGATCTTCTTAAATGTATTCTATAACTAAACAAAAAAAAATCAAATTTCAATAGGAACATTGATAAAACTTTTGTTAGAAATCAACTTTTTATGATTGAATCAATGTTTATATTAAACTGAATGAAAATATATTATTAATATTGAATAAATACATCAGCACACGCAATTAATGAGTATAAAAAAAGTATTTTTGTCTATATATAAGATTTTTTTTTTACACAGGTAATTTAATCAATGAATGATAGATTTCTCTTAGAAGAAATTTAAAGGTCCCAGTGAATAAACTACACAGAGAAAAATAGCTATTGTATTCATTCAATAGGACAGGTGAACTTGCAAAAGTTTAAATACCTGGTCAAGATAGAGATGGCACTGTGGAAAACTTTCATTGGGTTCGCAATAACAGTCATCTTTAAGGTAACATTAGATAGACAGAAACTGCAAACAACAAAAAAGATCATTATTTCATTGGAACATAAAACCTCACTTCAGAACACCATGTGATTCTTGTCTGCCAATAAAAATCATCTAAACTTATGGAACATCTATGTTTAGTTTTGAAAAAAATGTGATTACCAATAAGGTGAACATAAATTTCTAATGTATATTTTTATCAAGTGAGCAAGTAAGGTTCCTAAGGTTTTGCTGTTCAAAATTTTTTTAAATTTTGTCATTTTACAGTGTTATGTTGTACTCAATCTCATTATATTGTTTTCATAAGCACTTTTTCAGGAACACCATCTGAACTATTAAACCAAAACGCTAGTCATAGTGATGCTAATATGTTGCTTAATAGCTCTTGCTTTACAGCTTCATATTTCAGAATGCAGAAGAGCTGGATAATCCATATCTGGTATTCATATGCCTTATGGTCTGAAGTTTCCTTCATGCTTATGTCAGTTGTCCTTTTCCTAGTTATCATAATTCAGCAACTGCTTAAAAAACTAGTTTAATTATCAAGTGAATTTCTCACTTATTATTAGTAAGATGTAACTTAATCTATAAATGTGTTCAATCATGTATGCCAGACAAGGTTAACCTGACGTTTGGAAAATATGGAAAATATGGAACAAAATACTGAAAACACAAGCAAATGATTGCATGAAATTAAAGACGGATCAGATGGTGAATTTTAAATTTCCTGGTGAAAATGATACAAGAGAAGCAATAATTTTAGGCAGGGCTAGAAAGGCTACAACTGATAAGAAACTTTAAAAGGAAAAATTATCATGCTGATTTTTTACTAAAAAATGGCCATTGTTGAAGATGCAGGTGAGCGACACAGGCTCTTTAGAGCCTCTAGTTGGTGTATACAATGATTGTAAGAAGGGCATGTCCAACTGACAGGGTTCTACTGACTTTGATTTGATTTCCATAGTTCAGTTCATTTATCAATTTGAAGCTTTTTTGGAAATAAGATCTGTTTCTCAGATACCATAGCAACCGGTCAACTATTTTTGATGTATATGGATTGATTGTAAGGTGTGCATTTCCATCTGGTAGTGTTAATCTAACCTTGACCTCATTTTCCTTGTTGATTAGTCGAGGTTAATTTTATGAGGTTAAGTCAGTTTCGCAATTACTATAATCAACTATGTTCATTATGTTTGGTGTATGGAATGATTGCAAGGTAAGCATGTTTGACTGGCATGGTTTATCTGACTTTCACCTGTTTAAATGAATCATTTATAATGTTAAGTTCATGTGATACTTGTAGTTAAACTGTATCATGATCAGGAAGGTATGCCAGACATTCTAGCATGCCACGGGCATGTACATTCTTGTTTCATTTGGGAAATATGATATATATAAAAATAATGAGATATGGTATGATTGCCAATGAGACAACTATCCACCAGAGTTCAAATAAAGTAGATGTAAGCAAGTATTATAGGCCACCGTACGACCTTCATTAGTGAGAAATAAACCATACCATATAGTCGGTTATAAAAAGCCCAGACATGAACCAACTACAACCATTGAACTACTGTCTCCTTACTTGGTACAGGCACATGAAAAATATGACGGGGTTATACATATTTGTCAGCACTCAACCCTCCCCTAACTTGGCTTGACATAGCACAACTGAAGAACAAACTAAAAATCAGTTGCACTTGGCCTAACTCTAAGGATAGACACAAGGCACAATATAACTAACATTAAAACATAAGACTCAAAACACCAAAGTAAGAGTACGTGCATTTACTGAAAGCTAGTTCAAACCCAATTACAACTAATAAATAAATCATGTTCTCCCAGACTAAGGAATCAATCATTAAACATCCAACAGATTTATTGTAAAGACGTCATAAACAGTCTAAGAAACGCATGACCTTGCATGATATGTCCATCTGATAGGGTTCAATTTACCTTGAACTCATTCTTATGGTCCATTTGTCAATGCTATAACTTTTCCAGATGAGGATGTCCTCTTCTCAGATATTTGAATTAGTAGGTCAACTTTATTTACTGTATGGAATGTTTGTGAAGTGTACATGTTCGTATGCCAGGGTTTAACTGACATTCACCTCGTCTTCTTTTTTCATTTGTTGTGTTAAGTTTTCATTGTTGGGTCCGTTTCATAGATACTAAAAGCAGAAAGTCATCTAAATTAGAGTATCTAATGATTTTGAGGTATACATGCTTGTCTGGCAGGGCTCATCTGACCTCAACCTTATTAGTCCCCTATACTGACGAAGACGAAGTCGAAGGGGACTTTAGGTTTGCACTCAGTCTGTCTGTCTGTCTGTCCGTCCTTCCATCCGTCAGTCCAGCAAATTAGTTTTCCACACTATGTTTAGAATTCTGCCTCTTTCGTTGCAGTGGAGACAAAATAAGACAAAGGCCTTCAATCAGAACTATGCACAAAGTTTGTTAGTGTACATAGACCCTACACACAAAACTTAGTGATTTGTGGTGAGCAAAATGTTTATCAATTTTCAATGCTGCAGAGACATTCGTATCTTATCCAGAGGTGTGTACTGAAGAAAATATCAATCAGCTATGACACATGTTTGTTTGTTTATGGACCTTGAACAAGGACAAATAGAGGCTAATGAAAAAAATATTACATGTTTATTTCTAGTGTGTCTGAAGTTAATCTACAAACAGGGAAAAAGGCCCCACAGCTGTAGAATATTTGCCATTTAAGTGTTGGCAAATATGAAGTAATATTGGTTAATGATTAATTTGCATGCAATACTGGGTTCAAACAAGTAATAACATTTTTTGGTACAAAACTTTATTTCAAACAAAGTCATTTCAGTCAACATAAGTCACAAACATTACAACGAATATTCCTCCAGTTGTTCTTCTTGCATCTAATAAGCAATAAAAGTTTATAATATAGATCGTACAGTTTTTCTTTAAAAAAAAAAAGAACATTTTATACATGTGATATTGTTATGAAAACATACATTAAAATGTTTTATTTCTTCATTTAAACAAAGATTTTCACTAATAAATATATATCGGTGACATCATAAGTGTAGGTGGATTTTGTTAAAACCTTATTTTTTGCATAATTTGGCAAAATTTATGGCAGTATTCTCAAAAATTTATAGAGGTGCCACCATAATTTGCTGACATATTCATATATATAGTATTCTTTACTTTTTAACCAAAATGTCAATGGGCAAGGAGTGGAGCCACATATAAAATCTAGAAAAAGGTAAAAAAAGGTGCAAAATTTCTTAAAAAAAAATGGACTAATATGAAATCTATCGCCATTGCATGCTTATATTTTTATAAATATAAAGTTCATATATATAGATTCTACCACTGCATCGAGTGTGATACGATATTTATCCACTCGAGACAGTTAAATTTTCAAATTTAAAACGCGAGACTCGCCGAGCGTTTTAAATATTTAAAATTTAACTGCCGAGAGTGGATAAATATCGTATTACACGAGATTTGGTGGTGGAATCTGTTTCTCTAATGATTTTCAAACAATACGCAGGCAAATTTATTCCTTCTTTTGGAATGATCTGCAAAAAGATATGTTCTTTCTATGTGACGTCATCAGGCATGGTCGCCTTTTTTCATGCCGTCACAATAGGAAATTCAGAGGAAAGCAAGAAAATTCGACGTCATAATCGGATTTTAACCAATGAAGAACTGAGATCAAACGAACCACACGTTGATTAAATTTTTTTTATACAATGGGTGCAGAAAGGGATAAATTGACGAAGAATTAGAGAAACAATTATTCTTATCATCCTTTCAAAAATAGTACATTTAGCAATATATTCACATAAGGATTAATTAAACAACTGAATTAAAAAAACATACACCTTTACAGGGCTGTTTATAAGGTTACTGTAGAAATATAATCCAATAGCTATATTTCAGATCATCTTTTTGTTTTGCACAGTATATAAAAATAAGACTAATTTTGTTATCATAAAAACTGAATATAGAAAATAAAATGTTCCGCTGGGGCACAGCTTGATATGACCACAGAGATCAAACCCTGAACAGTTTGGGCAAGTCTGGACACTACATTCAATAGAAAAACAAAGGATATCGGGTATCTATCCATGACAGCTTGATACAGCTTTGACTTTGGATTGTGATTAAATATTTGATACAGCTTTGAATTTGGATTGTGATTAAATATTTGACACAGAATGAATGTGGTGAAAGAACTGAAAAATTTTAAATTGGATTTTTACCAATTATGGTTCAATATTCAAAATCTAAATACACAGTTAGATTCAGCATGTCTAAGTACACCAAGAATTTGATTTATTTATTCATTGACTGACAATGTTAGCTAAATTCTTACAGGGGTTCCCATGGACAATATTAGGTAAGTTTTGAAAAGAGTTCGCTTCATCAAAAGTAAATAAATATGTATACAGCATTCTGAAAATGAATAAAAAACCAACCTACCAAAAATGAAAAAAAAAATATTTCCAAATTATCATTCATCATTTATATAATGTCTTTTTTGAATATAACAAAAAACACATTTTTGATCATATTTGTGCAAATGTTGGACTTAAACTGTTTCCATAGCAACGAAGCTGATATAGCATGCTATATAGTCTATAATTATGGAAAAATCATCAAAGATGTGGCATTTTAAAATGTCAAAACAACAAAGAAACTGTAGATAATATTTATTTTCAGTGATTCCCATAAGGATATGATCATTTGTAACAAGTAACAATATGTCAATTGTAACTTTATATATTATTGTATAGTTGCTATGGTAACTTGAAGAAAACATGGGATTTCAGTTAAAAATCATGAAAAAATGCTTTACAATTGTTCAAGTCCTCTGCCTAAAAACACAAAAGATCTGACTTTACTAAATCATATTTTCTTTGAGGACACGTAACTATACTATTACCTTATCAAATAAAATTTGGTAGCTCATAATCCAAGAAATTTTTTTTAACCAAAAATTGCATTTTTATTTACAATTTCAGAAATTGATCAGTAAATGTTTGGATAAAATGTTATGATCTGTCATGGTGTGTTATTTGGCTTATATTTTTAATAGTATGATTTTGTATAAATAATGTGTTTTATCTTTAGAAAGAAAATTTTGTGTTTGTATTTTGTAAATTTTTTTAACTAAATTGTTTAATTAATTTTTACCTATGCTGTGGCAAGTACTGGAGATGTCACAGTGTGATTAAAGTAATTTGTTTTGAAATATTAATTGTAATTAGCATATGTCACTAGGATAGTTTAAGTTTTTATCAAAACATTATAGGATTAGGCTTTATGTTTATTAAAGTCTATTTTTACTAATGAGAGTACTTTTAACATGTCGAGACATATTTATTTATTTTGGGATTTAGTATAAATATCGTTGTGAAATTTAGGAAAGGCAGTCAGTGTTTCTGAACCATAACCTCTCACTACTCACGTCATGATACTGGACCTACAAGACTGTCTACCAATCTACCAGTTGACGGTTTAGTGTTGTGACAAAATTTATCTCTGACTCACATTTATTACCTTTTGCAATTTCTATTTGAGAATTATTATATTTTTGAGACTTTTACATTTTGATTTTGAGATTAAGTTCATTTTATGAATTAGTAGTTTTGGCATTTATTTTGTATTTTACAGTATAAGAGAAATAGTTTTACTTTGAATTTGATATTTAGATTTGATACTTTGAACTTGAATTAGATTATTATTATTTGGCATTGTTTACTAATTGATTGTTATCATCATTCATCTAAATTGTTATCATTATTAAATTATGAAAACCTTTATTGCGTTTAAGCTATGCCTATCAGAACATTAAGTCTAGCGATAGACTGACCCCCTGTTCCTTGGTTCAAGTACATACGAGTTAGCTCCCCCTTATCTAATAGTGCTCTGGACCTTGGTGACAGATCTACAAACATTTTTTTTGTCATTTTAGTAAACATTTTATATGGAAAACATAACAGGGTCAAAGCACACTATGATTGCAGTCATTTTCATTAGTAAAAAACCCATAGCAACTAAATTTACACCATGGCAACAATAAAATCTACCTTTGCAACAGGCATATGTTGCTTATAATTTTAATTTTTGGGCATTTTCATATGTTTTATCATGTATCTAGAAAACTCATACAAGCAACAGTGAATTTTTACAATTATATCAAAAGAAAAGACAAAAACAAAAATAACAAATATTCCATAGCAACATAATTGGTGCCTTAGCAACATGATATTTTCAGTGCTTAAAATGAAAATCTGTAGGTTTATTCAAAATTTATAAAATGTATCATGTATCTTCACAATTTTTTTAAGCAATACCCAATTGCTTCAGTATAATTCAAAGAAAAAATTTAAAGCTACACAATTAAGACCATAGCAACAACGATAGAACATGAGCAACATGACATGCAAAATGTTTACAATCACATTTTTTTTAATGTATTCAGGTATACTGCAATGTTTCAAGAAAATATATACAAGCAATGTCAAAATTTAACATCTGCATTGAAAGCAGCAAAATGAAATCCTTAGCAACAAATAAATTACCATAGCAACAGGGTGAAGTTTTTGCTAAAAATTTCAATCTTTTAATGATACATTAGAATTGCACTTACATTTTGTACAATATTTTAAAACAATGTAGATAAGCAATATGTTGTATTCCATTAAAGGGGCATTAGCTGTCAAATTCATGTTCACTGATTTGACTCAAATTCTCATATTTGATTTATAATATACTAAAGCGTATATCCAAAATACGATAAGTCTGAAATAAACAATTAACAATGCATGGACTCGATAATATATATCAGCATTTCGTGTATATTTTAGTCTAGACACCATCTAATTAATCATCAAGATGACCTCCAATAACCTACGACGGTCACATAACCCAATATAAACATAACTATAAATAGATAGCGACTTCGTGCAATTGGACTTTTCTTGGTCTGTTTGAATTCACGTTATAGGCTAAAAAAATAAGTTAATCATCGTTTTTGCCTGTTTAAGAATGATTTTTTGTCGACCGAATCAGTCAACGAAATGGTTCATCCTTGTTTCACTTTCAATGTTGACATTCTTTTCCTTTTAATGGCTGAACACGACTAATACATGCGTAACCAATCTCTAGCTAATGGGTTAAATTGAAGTTCACATGAATACAGATTCAATGAGGTCAAATTATTCACTTGCAAGTGAATAATTCATCAGCAATGTTTCTTAGCTTATTTTGACAAAATTGAACCAAACTGGCTGCTAAAAGCGAATTATTATTTCACTATTTCACTTTCATTAATGATTGAACAAACAAAAAATCATATTCTAATTTTTTTTATATCTCGTAGCTAATACCCCTTTAACTGTAAACATGATTAATAACCAATATCGACCTGAACACCTTTCTTTAACATGTTTAACTGTGAAAGTCCATACATTATCAACACAGCATGGTAAAATGATTTTACTTTACTTCTTTACCATTTTTTATATCTGACAAAATAATCCCGATGTTCACTGCAAAAAGATGTGGATTCATTATTATTCGTTGGATACCAATTTTCGTGGATTTCGTGGGTACAGGTGAACCACGAAATTAAATGTTCAACAAATACCAAATTTTCTATAGGCTTGTATGCAGACTTCGGCAAAACCACGAAATTAAATATTCACGAACATGTAAGTTTTCCTTAATCCACGAAAATTGGTACCCACGAAAATAAATGAATCAACAGTATCAGTTTTACCAAAACCAGCTTAGGATCACATGCCAATCTGAGAATCATCTGAATAAAAACCTTTAAATTGCATCATCAGATGACACTATATATAGCATCAGTTTCAAATCAATTGGGACTTATTGTTGTTTCTGTTTAATTCATTCACAAGTTATGTAAATGTTTAGAGCTTCACATATTGAGTAAAATCATGTCTATTGTTGAAGGCTGTATGTTTCCCTTTATGTATTTAGCGGAAGGGATGAGCTCTGTATTAAATATATATAAAAGGGCAAGAAAAATATTACAAATAGTTGATAAGGTTGTTGGTCATATCATTAGCTTCTAAAACTGAATATTTTCTATAGATGAAATTTTAACCTCAGTGATAAATGCATCAGATATTTGTTATTTAACTCTCCATGAAGTAGTTAAATATAGCTATATAGGTCTATTGTTGGTCAAAATGTATATAAAAGGGTATAAATTTTTGAATATTCAAAATACATGTATAGGAAAAAGGTGGGGTACTGGATCCGTGGATGTCACAGCTTCTCACAAAATGATTTACGTCGCACAGCTTGGTTTCAATTCAATAAGTGGTCCTGAAAATGCATGAAATATTTGCTACTGGACATTAAGCAAAAACAACAATCAATCAATCAATTTTTTAAGCAGTTATTGAGAAGAAATTTTTCAAATATTAACTACATCAATCAGATCAGAGGTTTTGAAAAAAGATCAAAAATGTCAAATGTTTACAATACAGTATTTGCTAATTCAGTTAGCTGACACATCTCAGTTTTAGATTCTTCTGCTATCAGATCACAATTGTCAAAAAACAGTATTTGATACAAAAAGAAAATATCAAGTCAATATCTTCAAGCACGACTAAAAACAGTGTGGAAAACTGATTCAATGAGTGAATTTTTCAAGTCCAAGGACCAAAACTCTGCACAAAATTATCAGACCGAAACAAAATTTCGAACTTGAGTTTATAACTTGTCATGATAAAACTATATACCATTTATCAATCAATATCTTCAAGGGGCCTCGGTGGCCAAGTGGTCTAAGTAGTTACTACTGTAATCACTAGCCAGTCAACACTGAGGTTGTGAGTTCGAACCCCGCTCGTGCGGGTGCACTCGACTCCAATCTTAATTGACTAGGATTGTCAGTTTTCCTATCGAAGGTCGGTGGTTTTCTCCGGGCGCTCCGGCTTCCTCCACCAATAAAAACTGGCCGCCACGAAATAGCCCAAAAGCGGTGCTTAAAAGTGGCGTTAAAACACCAAAAATCAAAAAATCAAAAAATCAATATCTTCAAACATGATGAAAAAAAGTGTGGAAAACACTTTAACATTAGATATGATTAATAGTTCTATAAAATTAGATATGATGTAATACAGTGTATATCTATTTTCAAATTATAATCAAATATAATTAATAGTTCCAAATATTTTTTCTTTTATTTGTCACAAACTAATATAGATTTGTAACTTATCTATAAAATGTCAACAATTTTTATCTACACAATGTAATGTAATATATTCATTAATAAGAATAGATTAATATCTAATTAAAGGATTTCACTTCATAATTTTTTTTATATATATAGCATTCAGAAAATTAGTTTATACAAAATAACAAACAAACCTGCCAAAAAATCCTTCAAATAATTTACCAAAGAATGTCTTTTAAAACATAAGTTATCTCCCTTTGTACAGAAATATGGTTTAACATAGTACTCTAACATTAGATATGGTCCAGAGTAATGGTCCATAACTCTGGACTAAATCATCAGACCGGAACAAAATTCGAACTTGATCTATAACTTGTCATGGCAAAACTATATACCAAATATCAAATCAATATCTGCAAGAACGAAGAAAAAAGTGTGGAAAGCTGATTTGCCAGACTGACGGATGGACAGACGGACAGAGTGAAAACCTCAAGTCCCCATCGACTTCGTCAGTAGGGGACTAAAAATCTTGTGATAAAATGATTATAAAGTTACTAGAACGTTAATGAAAACAATTTTAACGTTACGCGCAAATCATGGCGAAATGGCTAAAATACCATTGTACCTTGGTCTTTTCTGACGCCCTGGAAAATTATACAAACACAGTTACAAGTCTAATGGTTATAGTTTTATGAACTACACTAGTTAGTGATCCTTCTGCAGTAATTTCATCAATTTCTGAGACAGGTGTGGGCCAGGTGAGCTTAAAATAATAGCAAATTATATAACCATGGACATTTTTACTAGCAATTTAAATTTGTGTCCAGCAAGACAAAAGTCTAATTTTTCAACAATTGCTCCTGCTTCCTGTTTTAATGTCTATTATTTAGCAGACAACCCGGTGTAAACAGTTGCAAGCAGTCTTCCGTCAAAATGGTTTATTATATATATGACTACCAAAATGTGATTGAACACATTGACTATTTAACCTCATCAATCTGAATATTTCCAGCTTCTTTTGCATCCCTGGCTGTCTGTTTGCATTGTGTTACTTCTCCATGAGCTTCATTTTGTGAAATCTGTAAAAGAAAACATTTTCAACTATTTTATTACCATATACATGCAATTCTTATAGGATTTATATGTATACCTTCATCTCAGCTTTAAGCTATTAAAGTCAGAAGATATTGTATGAGATATAAGACTAATTACCGAAAAAAATAACCATTCAATAAGTTTAGTTTTTTTACCCTTCATAAGAAAAAGAGAGAGGTCGTCTATCTACTTTTTAAAGGTGTTTCACCTTTTAAAATTATGGTCACTTAATTTTTAGTGAAATATGGAAAACTCAGAAAAAATATTTTCAAAGTTTTGCTCTTGATACTATCATTTGATCCTGAAGAAGCTTCTGTCAAAATTTCGTAAAATTCCATGAAGGTGTATCAAATTCATTGATGTCTTAAAGAAAGAAAAAATATGTCGCAATTGTAGCATTAACCTTTCATAATTTTAAAGTCAAGTCATCATGTTTTGCTATCTATATTAAAACTAAATTTACCAATAAAGATGATTTTCTTTGAATTATTCAAAATCTTTTATTTACCATATTGTAATATTTGAATTCAAATTTTAAATCTGTAATCATTGATAAAGCAAAATTTCCTTGTAGAAAAATGTCAATATTGGCCTTGCTTGGTTCTTTAATTTCATTTTATGCAATGCCAAGTAAAAATTGTTTGACTCCTGTACATGGTTTTTACCTATGAGAGTTGGATTATTGAGGCAGGTCAGGAAGTTCAAATTGCTTGGTTATGTATGAAAGTTAAATGGGTGATGGCCATAAAAAAAATGTCTTATACCTAGTTTTCTGTGTCAAAGAATTGAAACAAGTTCCATTATGACATGTATCCAGTAGGAAATTGTATGAAGGAGCACACCTTCAAATCTAATATAGGTGGTATAGTTTACTATTGTAAAATAAATATCAATTTATAAAGATAAACTGATATTTATGTTGCTTCCAATAATCAAAAGCAGGCCAATATTTTTGGGTGATTTCTACTTGCAAAAATAATGACTTAAAGGTACTGATTATAAGCAAAAGAGCACAGAACATTCTTTTTTTTGATAGGAATAGAACATAAGCAAATTTTCTTGTCCTTGTTTTTACTTACATGTGGTTCAAATCTTTTTTCCTTCTCTTCCATTCTTTGCACAAGTTCGTTTCTGCATCTGGAATACATCCCTGTAAAATTGAAAGTGAAAATTTAAATTGTAACAAAAAAGCATGTATCATAACATTTCTTTTTATTTCAAAAATAAAAATGCTCATTGGACGGATTCACTACTCCATGTACTTAGGGCCTGTAAATTACTTCCTGGCTCCTTGCCCTAATTGGCTTATAATAGTAAAAAAGGGAAGTTTTGATTTTTTTTTAACTTGTTTGAATTTGCAACTTTTTTGTATGCATGTCCCAAGTCAGGAACATTGTCTGAAGTTTTTGCATGTCATTTCTTTTATGTTTTGCCTTCTTTGGAGAATTGGGTGATTTGTGTTAAATTTATATACTTGTATTTTGATGAAGATTGTATGTTGTCCTCAAGATGTATTTGTTTACATTTGTTATTGGGTTTCTGTCTCATTTATCTAGGGTACCTTATTTTATTCAATGACACATTCTCTAAAAACCAAATTTATGTCTGTATTAGGATCAAAATGACATGTACATCAGATTTTTTGTGAAAAGAGCCACAGACACCCAAGTTATTGGTACTAGCTCACATGAACATTTGATCCAGGTGAGCTGGTAATTTGAACAACAAAAAAATAAGCAAACCTGTCAGATCCAATTCCAAGCAGAACATGATGATATTTCTTGAGGAAAATAGACTGCTCCTTTGTGATAGTTCCTTTCAAGTTGCTCTTACTTTTTGTAAATTTCCCATCGTATCAAACACAGCTTACTAGGTCTCCAACCAACACCAAGAGCAAACCTTTAAAAAAATTGAAAGGCAATAATTATCAAAACTTGCGATAGAAGAAATGAAATACATGTACAAATCACAACAAAAAACAGCCATAATCTTTCTTTGCAAAAGCCACAAAAAATCCAATCCTGTAATTACTTAGGTACAGATTATTCATCTGAGGGTGGATTCTCAGGGGTCCACTTCAATACTTAATTGATAGGGGTGCTGCTGGGGTTCTGTTACCCCACCCTTTTCATATAATTTAGATTTTAAAAATGTATACCTTTTCATATAATGTGTAGGTAAAAATGTAACCCTTTCCCATATTGTTTGGGTGTCATGTGGTGTGTAATGTAAGAGTGGAATACCAGTGTCAAAAGAGAGAAAATTGTTTGATAAAAACACAGACGGGAACACCAAGAAAGATGACAGACGAAGAAGTTATGGGAACTTTATTGACCTTATCATATATTTCTGATAGTTTTCCCAACATATTCACATTTTTTCAAGCTTGAAAAGGTGACCTATTCCAGCGGCACATCCTATCACCTTGTATAGAGGAAGTGGCCCCCCGAGGGTGGGTTGACTGTTTTTTTTCCTAAGGACAAATCATTTTTTAGACTCAGTAAAATACAATAATCTAGTTCCCCCTAATCTTTAATGGCAAAATTGTATGAACGAGCACACCTAAAATTCTATTATAAATATACATTGCACAACTCCTATCAGGAATGTGGTAATTGACATTTTCAGCAGTTGCAACTGTAGGAAAATAGTTGTTATTTGGACAGACAAGGGCTAAAGATGTAAAACACAGTCCCTATACACAATAACGGATGAGATAACAATGTCTCCGGAATTCCACATATTTTTTCTGTCTAAGGGCAATAACAAATTTTTTATTAATCTATTTTGGTTCTTTTAACTTTTTATTAATATCTTTGAGAAATGTTGGCTTGAGAGCCTTTTAATGCAATATTCCATATAATTTAAATTTCCAAGGGACATAACTCTTTTAAAAGTTATTGATTAGCCCTGATTTTGGAACTTGTCAGAGACATTGCTAATTATAAACCTTTGATATAAATTTGATAAAAATCTGGCAAGAGTTCTACATGTTAGAGCTTTTACAAAGCACTTTCCCATATGATTAATATTTCCAAACGGCATAACTCTTTTTTTTTAAAGTTGATCAGCACTGATTTTCGAAATTGTCGGAAATGCTGTTATAAACCTTTCAGCATTTATGTTCTTGAATGTTATTGTTATTCTTAAAAAAAAAATTACCAGTACCTGTGCTTAAGGCAAATACATGTAGTTAGCGTATCATTGTCTTCTTCAAAACGACCAGCTCTTATCTTCAATAATGAACTTTCACTGTCAATACTTCTACTACTTATTGAATATTTTTGAAGATGTGAGTCCGCTGAATCTTTACAACATGTTAGGGGAAGAATTCAACTCGGCCAGGTCTTTTTATATTCAATTAGACCACACTGCTGTACTGCTGAAGTAACAAAACTACAAACGAATTGAGACTCGCCTGTAAATACACATACATGTATTAATAATGTGAATGCATTTTAGGGAAGTTTGGTTAATACTATGGGGAAATATTTGGTTAATTTGTTTTACATTTTAAGCTTTTTACAGCCTTTTATAGCGGACTATACAGTATTGGGTTTTGCTCATTGTTGAAGGCCATATTAAGTGACTTCCATTTGATTAACTCTGCTTCAGTTCATTTGGACTAGTCTCATTGGCAATCATACCACATCTCCTTATTCTATAAGTGTTACCTAGATAAAACAATCTGAGTTTTTCAACCTTATATTAAGAACAGATACTTACTAATTAATTAGACTTATCAACTGGTTTGTACTAACATGAGAAACATGACAGGTGCACATGTGGAGCAGAATCTGCTTTCCCTTCTAGAGCAACTGAGATCACCTCCAATTTTTGGTGGAGTTCGTGTTGCTCAGTCTTTAGTTTTCTATGTTGTATTTTATGTACTGCTGTTTGTCTGTTGGTTTTTCTTTTTTAGCCATGGCTTTGTCAGTTTATTTTCAAATATGAGTTTGTATGTCCCTTTGGTATCTTTTGCCTCTCTTTTACTATTGTTCTGTTAAATAATAATCACATTTTATTTAAACTAGGGACAATTTAGATCTGACATATTTTATAAAAAAAAAAGTGTTTTTGGAATCCCTAGCCAAATACCCTTCGTTTTAGATCTGTTAAGTTTTAATCCTGAAAGTGAACCAAATGTTTCAATCATGTTAAAGGCTTTTGAAATATCTAGTTTTGATTTAAGAAAAAGTGTAGTGTCATCTGCTAGCTGACTTATCTTTATATAGAATGAAGGAATAATAACATATATAGAATGAAGAAATAATAACAATAAACATTTTCTTGTTGTTGCACAATTATCTCCCCTTAACCTAACACATTCTTGTGTAAAAATGTTTTTCTATAGTATAATCATAGATGGGTTTATACATCTATGTTATAATACAACATGATTTTGATCTATTCATATAATTTCCTTTCCCAGAAGCAATGATAGAGTTTCATTAATCAATATCTGATATATGTGTATCTCAACTTGATCATTAGAATAAAGTACAAGGAATCTACTTCAAAGTTGTTATAAAAAAACTTTACCAATGCAATATGACAATTTATTGCCCTTCTTGTTTTCAGCATACTGTAGGTGCCCTTTTGTTAATTTTCCATACACTGTAGGTGCCCTTTTTATAAATTTTTGCGTGCTCTAGATGCCCTTTTTCAATTAAGTTATCATGCCCTTTTTGTGTGATAGGGGAAACACTAAAAAAAAGATTATCCCCCTTCTGTAGTCAAGTATTCCTTTTAAAAAAAGTTATTTGCTTATCAAATTGAAGGCAGTAAATATAAATGAAATAGATGTATTTGAGTTAAGCATTTTACCTGATTCCTTATTAAGGATTACGTTAAATACCTAATGCTTTGGCAGTTTTATCACCTTTGTTAATGATTGTTTACTGCTAATTAGTGGATTTAAGATAATTGAACAAAATTACTAGATATCTAAGGGAGCTACCATTTGATTTTTATGGGGGGGCTAGGATGAATTTTTTAAAAAATAGGCAGGACAGGAGTTTTGAGTAAAAAAAAAGGCAGGACGAGATTATTTGCAAAAAAAAGGCAGGATGACAATTTATGTAAAAAGAAGAGTCAGGATAAATTTTAAAAAAAAGGCAGGACCGAATACAGTGAAAAATAAAAAGGCAGGACCAAATAGAGGGAAAAATAAATAAGCAGGACAAAATTTTTCATCCTAGCCCCCCATATAAATCAAATGGTAGCTCCCTAATACAGAATGAAATGTCCACATGTTATCCATTTGTAATGTTAATGTACAGCATGTACACCTGAAAAAAATTATTTAAGTAGGCATAACATAAAAAATAAAATCTTAAACAATTTTAAAGGCATACATAGTTTGACTTAATTGGTAAAAAATGTTTTGTTTCAAAACCATGATTATGAAATTTAAAGAAGAATCAAAGAAATTTGTACTTTGAACATAACAAGATTCACTTCCTGTTTTACTTCTTGTAATTTATAGTCCTCCTGACATAGGAGCACTCAACAAATTTATTTTTAACAATGATGGAGAAAAGTAACTGTTTATACCTTCTGCAATATGTTATTGCATCAATATAATATGATCATCTCCTGTCTCACCTGTTATATTCATAAAACTCCTTACTGAGGAGCACTTTGGTGTGCACTTAAAAATACTTTTTTGTAACAATTCAAATGGTTATAAATAACTCTCAATAACATATATACTATATGTTTGAACAAGTAATCTAAATGTAGATAATTTCATTACATTAAACATTCAATTTTGCATGGATAACTCCGTCTTTCAAAACTACTTGTTTATTTTTATAGACTGGTATAAGTTATAAAACATTGAAATTTCTGATGATATTTTCCTTACCAAATGTACAAGTTTGTTTAGATTAACATTAAAATGATATGCCTTACTTCATGACAGCCCTCAAAGTAGGTTTAAAGACCAGGTTGCCTTTTGGCCACCAGACTTAAAATTTCAGTGGCCAATTCAAAATTTTAGTTGCCAGGAAATAATTGCAGGTCGCCTAAGAAATTTGTTATGAAAGTCTAGTCAGTAGAGCTAATGAAGACTAGTAAAATAAAATGCTTCACTGGGGCGCAGCTTGATACGACCGCTGAGGTCGAACCCTGAACAGTTGGGGCAAGTATGGACACAACATTCAAGCTTGATACAGCTCTGAATTTGGATTGTTATTAAATATTTGACACAGCATAGGTTTCTGACACAGAAAGAATGTGGTCTAAGAACTTGAATTTTTTTAATTTACCTATTATGGTCCAATGTCCAAAATCAAAATACATGGTTAGATTCAGCATATCAAAGAACCCCATATATTCAATTTTTGTTAAAATCAAACAAAGTTTAATTTTGGACCCCAACTTGGACAAACTTGAAAACTGGGCCCATAATCAAAAATCTAAACACATGTTTAGATTCAGCATATCAAAGAACCCCAAGAATTCAATTTTTGCTAAAATCAAACTAAGTTTAATTTTGGACCCTTTGGACCTTAATGTAGACCAATTTAAAAAACGGGACTTAAAATTAAAAATCTAAATACATGGTTAGATTTGGAATATCAAAGAACCCCAATAATTCAATTTTTGATGAAATCAAACAAAGTTTAATTTTGGACCCTTTTGACCTCAATATGAACCAATTTGATAGCGGACCCACAAATAAAAAATCTAAATTCATGGTTAGATTCAGCATATCAAAGAACCCCATATATTCAATTTTTGTTGAAATAAAAAAAAGTTTAATTTTGGACCCCAACTTGGACCAACTTGAAAACTGGGCCCATAATCAAAAATCTAAACACATGTTTAGATTCAGCATATCAAAGAACCCCAAGAATTCAATTTTTGTTAAAATCAAACTAAGTTTAATTTTGGACCCTTTGGACCTTAATGTAGACCAATTTAAAAAACAGGACCCAAAATTAAAAATCTAAATACACGGTTAGATTTGGAATATCAATGAACCCCAATAATTCAATTTTAGATGAAATCAAACAAAGTTTAATTTTGGACCCTTTTGACCTCAGTATGAACCAATTTGATAGCGGGGTCCACAAATAAAAAATCTAAATACATGGTTAGATTCAGCATATCAAAGAACCCCATATATTCAATTTTTATTGAAATCAAACAAAGTTTAATTTTGGACCCCAATTTGGACCAACTTGAAAACTGGGCCAAAAATCAAAAATCTAAATACATGTTTAGATTCAGCATATCAAAGAACCTCATATATTCAATTTTTGTTAAAATCAAAGAAAGTTTAATTTTGGACCCTTTGGACCTTAATGTAGACCAATTTGAAAACTGGACCCAAAATTAAAAATCTAAATACACTGTTAGATTCGGCATAACAAATAAATAAATGTGATCAAAGATTTTACAAATCTAATGCGCCATACTGTGCAATTAAAGATTACTTCTTGAAATTTTTCAATATTTGAAATTTGAAAAAAAAATAATATTTGAAGAATAATTCTTTTTAATTTCTGAAATCTGAAATGAGAAAAAATTGCCCCCCCCCACAATTTCTTTTTATCCCCCCCCCCCCCCCCCCTTTTTTCCCCAAAATAATTCTTTCCCTCAAGATATGGTCATAATCTCAATTCAAATTTCCGATGGAGTTGGCAACCATAATTACCCATTTAAATTTACCATAGTGCTAACTTAATCTATTTTGTAATGGAATTCAAAATATAGTGTCAAATCTTTCATATGGATTTTTTTGTAAAAAAAAAAGATGCAACATTTGCAGATATTTTTACTGGTCTTCCTTTATAAATATGCATTTCTTTAAACATAATTTAAAAGCAGTGTAAGGGAAGTAACCAAAACGTTGTATTTGGATTACCTCCCTTACACTGTTTTAAATTATCTTTATTGTTCATTAACCATTACTTTATACATAATTGAAAAGCAGTGTAAGGGAGATAATTTCAATGATGTATTTGATTTATCTCCCTTACACTGCTTTAAATTATGTTTTGTACTAAAATATTTGTCCATTAACCAGGACAACCTTGTTTTCCCCCTTTTTTGCCCCTAATTCCTAAACGGTTTGAGCCATAACCCCCCAAAGCAAATCCTAACCATCCCTTTGTGGTATGGAAACTTGTAGTATAATTTCAGAGAGATCCATACACCGTTCCACAGTTATTGTCTGGAAACTAGAAAATGCTTATTTTTGGCCCCTAATTCCTTAACTGTTGGTACCATAACCCCCAAAATCAATCCCAACCTTCCTTTTGTGGTATTTAACCTTATGGTTAAATTTCAAAAAGATCCATTCACTTAAACTAAAGTTAGAGTGCGAAAACCAATGTGTCTTCGGACGACGACGACGCCGACGCCAACGTCATACCAATATACGACCACAAAATTTTTTTGCGGTCGTATAAAAAGCATATCAATTAATTTTCTAATATTTTTCTTATTCGCTTAATCGTAACATTAGAAGATGTACTTGTCTCATCAGAAGCCGGAGTTTCTATAGAGGAACTCTCCGCCCCTTCTTCATGTTTCTTAGCTGGTGAAACATCGTTGTTTTGAAAAATCTGGACAGCAACATCTGTTTGGCTGCCATGATGTATTGGCCCCAAAAACACTTCATCAGACGCTTGAATTCCCAGTTAAATTAAGCGCTTTAAAATTAAGATTAAAAATGCGTGAAATCAAATTCAAGACTTAGCATACATTCAAGCGCTCGTATGACTGTGAATAAAACTTAATAAAATACGACCGGAGGCAGGTTGATTATCCGGAATTTTACGGTCGCCAGGTCCAAATGGTAAGCAACAATGAAATTAAGGTCGCCTGAAGGCTTTATAGGTCGCCCAGGCGACTGTTTTAATAGCCTAAATTGAGAGCTTCATGGTATGATAATTTGATAAAAAAAAAAAATTCTTACTGGAACCAACATCAAGAACACATTAATTTCTGAATATGGTTTAAATACAACTAATGTTCTCCAGCTGAGCCTAGCAATATTCAAGGTAATTTATACACTGTCCAACATTGCCCTTAAAATCTGGGTAGATCATAAGTATATATTTTTTTAGATAGAATTTTCTTATACTTTGCCAGAATGAAGATTTTACTATGCTTTTTTCAAAAATATAATAAAAAGTATGGGTCACCGTGCTATTTTTCAAGTTATGAGTCGTTGAAAATTGCCTTAATTTGGTTAGATTGTTCATGAAAAAACACATTTGTGTGCATAAAAAAATTCTATGAGATAGAATTTTGAAATAAATTGTGAGAAGATAGGTTTTATAATACGTTTTAATAAAATAAAAGAAAAAATGGTGTCACCGAACTTGTTTTCTTGCTACAAGTAAAAATTAAAAATTTCCCTATCAGTCTAGTATAATTTTTTTACTAAAAGAGTTATCTCTCCTTAAATGGCTCATTTGAGAAAAATGATTCTAAAAAACAAACAAAAATGATATTTGTTTAAATATTTTGTATAATACAATAATTCACCAAGTTTTCTTTATATAAATAAACAGTCTAACCATTAAATTGCAAATCTGTCTCCAATTTTGCAGATTTAGGCAAATAACTAGACCCATTTTGTACTGCAATTGTACAATCCAAGATGGCGGTATACCATGAATCTACCTTAAACAATGATAAAAAACATAGAAAAATGACATCGGTCAGACTCACCCTGTCAGGATTTAAGATTATTGTAGAGCAACAAAATATTTTCCACTGAACTTAAAGAAAAATTTAGCAAGCAATATTCTATTATAATGCACTAGTGCAAATATAGCTTCAAATTATACATGTAATAAGTGACAAATTATATTCTACACTTATTTTCAAGCTTTACTATACGATAAAAGAGTTGAAAGCTTATGCAAAATAAAAATGTACTCTGGACAATATTCACAAATATTCCTGTAAATCTTTATTTCTATTTATATTGCAACAGTTTAATTTGTGCAGTCAAATTGCATAGGGCATATTAATGTTTAAACACTGACTGTATAAGGCCTTGTTTGTGACATTGATAATGTTTTATTTTTTAAATTTTTATCTATAAGGATTTTGCAGAATATTTACGTCTTCTACATCTTATTCAATATTGTTGTTGTCTTCTTTAAAACAGTTTATAGTTGCAGTATAAAGAAAAAAACAGACATTATGTGTTTACTTATTATATTGTTACTTCTAGTTAACTGCTATTATTTCTAGAATCAATGCACGAGACTCTCAGATTTATGTTAGAAAAAAATCCATTACATGCAGTGT